AAGCTTACTCAAGAGCCAAGCTAGACAGTTTCTAGGTTTTAATCACAGTGCATGGTGTAAAACATTTAGTTTTTTTTCTGCTGTCTGTAAAAAAAACTGGCTTGCAAGACCTGGAATTCATTTCAGGCATTCCCATCTCTTTTCCCTTACATTCCTGACCTGAAGCCAGTTGTGCTTTTTTCTTACCCAATCCTTGAACTTTGCTCATGCACTCAGTTACTTTGATTAACACTGTGTAACAAAAAAATTGTTCCTAGTTAGTAAGTGTTATTTCCTAATTGCTTATGTCTCAAAAGTACAGAAAATGGCTATTGTTCCCCACAAACTTTGCTTTTGTGACCAGGACAGTGATATTTTGAAATTTACCTATTTTCAATGGGAAAACGTGTGCATTTGTGTCTTTCGTTCACGTAAAGTCCTGGTCACAAAAGCAAAGTTTGTGAGGAATAATCGCCATTTTCTATACTTTTTAGGCATAAGCAATTCAAAAATAACACTTAGTACCCTGGATAAAAAATTGTGTTACAGTGAGGGAAAAAAGTATTTGATCCCCTGCTGATTTTGTATGTTTGCCCACTGACAAAGAAATGATCAGTATAATTTTAATGGTAGGTTTATTTGGACAGTGAGAGACAGAATAACAACAAAATCCAGAAAAACGCATGTCAAAAATGTTAAATTGATTTGTATTTTAATGAGGGAAATAAGTATTTGACCCCTCTGCAAAACATGACTTAGTACTTGGTGGCAAAACCCTTGTTGGCAATCACAGAGGTCAGACGTTTCTTGTAGTTGGCCACCAGGTTTGCACACATCTCAGGAGGGAATTTGTCCCACTCCTCTTTGCAGATCTTCTCCAAGTCATTAAGGTTTCGAGGCTGACGTTTGGCAACTCGAACCTTCAGCTCCCTTCACATATTTTCTATGGGATCAAGGTCTGGAGACTGGCTAGGCCACTCCAGGACCATAATGTGCTTCTTCTTGAGCCACTCCTTTGTTGCCTTGGCCGTGTGTTTTGGGTCAATGTCATGCTGGAATACCTATCCACGACCCATTTTCAATGCCCTGGCTGAGGGAAGGAGGTTCTCACCCAATATTTGACGGTACATGGCCCCGTCCATCGTCCCTTTGATGCGGTGAAGTTGTCCTATCCCCTTAGCAGAAAAACACCCCAAAAGCATAATGTTTCCACCTCCATGTTTGACGGTGGGGATGGTGTTCTTGGGGTCATAGGCAGCATTCCTCCTCCTCCAAACACGGCGAGTTGAGTTGATGCCAAAGAGCTCCATGTTGGTCTCATCTGACCACAACACTTTCACCCAGTTGTCCTCTGAATCATTCAGATGTTCATTGGCAAACTGCAGACGGGCATTTATATGTGCTTTCTTGAGCAGGGGGGCCTTGTGGGCGCTGCACGATTTCAGTCCTTCACGGCGTAGTGTGTTACCAATTGTTTTCTTGGTGACTATGGTCCCAGCTGCCTTGAGATCATTGACAAGATCCTCCCGTGTAGGTCTGGGCTGATTCCTCACGGTTCTCATGATCATTGCAACTCCACGAGGTGAGATCTTGTATGGAGCCCCAGGCCGAGGGAGATTGACAGTTATTTTGTGTTTCTTAGATTTGCGAATGATCGCAAAACTGTTGTCACCTTCTCACCAAGCTGCTTAGCAATGGTCTTGTAGCCCATTCCAGCCTTGTGTAGGTCTACAATCTTGTCCCTGACATCCTTGGAGAGCTCTTTGGTCTTGGCCTTCGTGGAGAGTTTGGAATCTGATTGATTGATTGCTTCTGTGGACAGGTGTCATTTATACAGGTAACAAGCTGAGATTAGGAGCACTCCCTTTAAGAGTGTGCTCCTAATCTCAGCTCATTACCTGTGTAAAAGACACCTAGGAGCCAGAAATCTTTCTGATTGAGAGGGGGTCAAATACTTATTTCCCTCATTAAAATGCAAATCAATTTATAACATTTTTGACATGCGTTTTTCTGGATTTTTCTGTTATTCTCTCTCTCACTGTTCAAATAAACCTATTAAAATTATAGACAGGATCATTTCTTTGTCAGTGGGTAAATGTACAAAATCAGCAGGGGATCAAATTCTTTTTTCCCTCACTGTACATAATGTAATTTATACTAATTTGTCTTAATCATCAGGATTACCTTTCTACTGCTGGATGAAGCATCATGTCATCATCCTCATGGTATTGTGATGCCATAATCTGCATTGCTCCTGCACATGAACTGATCTAATCGCTTTTTCCATAGTGGTAATCTCGGGGATGTCTGTCTTGGCATCTTTACTCTTGGCACCAATTCCATCACCAGTCTTTTCTATCAACCATCATCCTTCTAGCAGTGTGCCTTAAATCTACTTTTCTTAATAGTCAATTTATCTCTGATTTGCATTTGTTCTCTAATCCATGTGTTCCTCTTTTTGTCACTTAGTTTAATTCCCAGAATGCACTTTACATGCTTTGGATTAGTTTTCAGTTTTTATTTCAATTCATTAGTCAATGTATCTGATCCATGCGACAGTATGCACTTTTTAAAAACCTTCCTCTTCCTACGTTATTCTTTTTTTAATTAAATAAATTTTCCAAAAGCACTCCAGCCTATACTCACTCACCTCTTTATTTCATAATTGTGATCCTGGTCCAGTTTCAATAATCGCCTGCGATATACATGCACTGTTGTATTTTCATTTGTGTTATACCTTTGTTTCTCCAATTCAACTTTTGGAAATTACCTTGTCACTGTGAATAGCCTTTGTGAGAGTAAATCGCATTCCCTGCCGCATCTTCTGAGACATTGCAGGACGACATGCAATTTAGACATTGTGTAAACTAAGACGTCGTAACTCCAATTCCATAATGGATAGAATACAATACATCATCATAAAATAAGAATAGAATTTAGGTGTGATCAGGACCACTCGTAAGTTGATTGTGAAAGGAAAACAAATTAAAATATCTCGGAATATTACATAAATAACTTCATCAATATGGATGTAACTTAATAATGTGAATCGCTAATTCACATGAAAAAATATATTCTTAGGTCAACCACAGACTGGCTGTAGTGCACGTTATGATGATCTGAAGCCAGCTGATGGGCTTGGTGCAGTGAGAGTAATGTAATCCTTTGCAACCACTGTCACTCCCCAAACATTGTGATCTTACGTATACTTTTTCTTATTTTTTTTCACACATTCTGTTATGGAATTTCATATCCTACTAAAATCGCAGCCTGCCGGATTTTACGAACATTTTCTGTACTCGAGCCCATAATTTGTATAAATTCTATGTTGCTTTATTTGATTTAACAGCAACTGTATAGTGCAATAGCCTACCATCTGTTAGTTATGAAGGACAGATGGTAAAGTTAGGTTTCAATTGACAGGCCATGACCTGCAGGTTTCAGAAAACCTACCAGTGTTTTAAAAAAATTATTAATAAAATATGATGAATGTTAACTCTGAGTTAGTGGAAAAGAGAAGCAGAGAGTGGGAGAGAGAAGTAACATAAAGAACGGCAAGATATGTGGGGGGAATAGATGCTCGTGGGATGGCATACTTCCTGTTAGTAAAGGAAAATATTTTAGAAGAGTAATATTTAAAGATAATGAAAATAATTGGATAACAGTTTAGCATATTAGTAATTTTCTGTAAATGTTACTTCATTTTACATGACAACACGTTGTGGCTAGAAAATCAATTGAAATCCATATTTTCATTTATTGCATATCCACATGCTACAACTCTAAAAATGTCACTAAAGGAAAAACATTTTGAGAGTGTTTACATTATGAGACCTCCTTTGCCAGTAGCAAGATATAGTAATAGGTGTTTACCCTTTTATCTGGCACCAAAACTGACACCTTTATACAAGGGATCATGTTTGCAATAACCACAACACAAGCAGTTAAAATGCAAACAAAAAGAGACAACTCTGATAATGATATGCATTATGCAAACAAAAGAGACAACTCTGATAATGATATGCATTATCAGAGTTGTCTCCTTTTGTTTGCATTTTGACTGCTTGTGTTGTGGTTATTGCAAACATGATCCCTTGTATAAAGGTGTCAGTTTTGGTGCCAGATAAAGGGGTAAAAACCTATTACTATATTTTGAGAGTGGTTATGAAAATTAGATTTTTAGGGTACATTACATCAAGTTTTCCCTGTCGATTCGTGCTTTGCATGTAGGATTACCTGAGTTTAAATACCATAATGTCTTTCAAAAGAGTTGAGATTTGCCTCGAATTATTGCAAATCTTCATAATGAAAACAACATTTATATGTTTTGTTCAGATTCGTTTGTTTCTAGCCTCCCTCGACCCGAGGGTTGGCTGCGACGGACTATCCTACACTTAAGAGAACTGTCTTCGGTAATATTTGCGAGTTGAAATTAGACCTTTTTTCATGCATGGACTTACATTTTAATTGAAATGCACGCATTTAAAGTATGTTTTACCACACAGCACATCTAATTGGAATGTAATTAAAAGACCATAAGAAACCATCACTCCACATTTTCCACATTTAATGATAATTCTGTCTTAAGTATATTATAATTGTTTTTTCATCAGTGACCGAATGCTTTAAGAAGTGTTAATTTCTATTAAAAAAACGAGTAACTTTTCCATTAGTGTTACAACTTGTAGGTGCTATTTCTATTTGCTTGTTCATATATTAAATGTTGCTAAATAATAAACTGAATGTACTGTAAAACACTAGATAGCAATAATAAAATGTACTCCAAAACACTACATATAAATTCTAATTACTACAACCAGGGATTGCTTAATGCAGATGAGTTTGCCAAATGTGTTTTAGCTTATACTGCACAGCAGCTATGTTAATGTTAAATACATCAATTATATTTTTAATGGAGGTTCATATTTTTTATTTTATGCGTGTTTTTAAAGGCCTTCAACTTTGTGCCTTAACAATGGAAGTTGAAGGGACCAATGGACATGCACAACTTTCAGGTACTAGTCTAAAGTTGCACTTTTATTGCCATCAGCAATTAAGAGTGGTCAGATTTACAATTATAAAATCACTTTAGAAATCAACCATTTGGAATTAAAGGTGCTTAAAGCCAGGCCCTTTGGATGTGTGACAGTACAGATAACGCTTGGCAGATCCCTTGATGGGGTCACTCAGTTTCAGGAATCAAATTTATGCATGTTAAAAGGGTATGATTGCCAAATATAGCTGGGATGCTATTCTTTAATTCACCATGGCTTGATATCTGGGATGCTGCTGATTGCATCGTCCAATCTAAAGGCTCATGGGGTAATTTTTATAACTTGTAACAGATACATCTGGAGATAAGCTTTGTTCTCATTTGAAATCAGTATAGTACAATCAGCAATGTTTGGTGTTGGCAGAAGTGAACATTGACTGCTTTACTGATAAATCCTGATGTGGATGAAAACGGTACACTGTTGTCTATTTCACTGCTGCCTTATATGATTGCCACATTTTCTTAACTATTGGAGTTGGTGATCTAAATGATAAAATGGCCACAAATTATATTATTTTTATTTGGCTTTTGTACATGCAATACACATGTTTGTTATTACATCTACACTTGCATATATATATATTTATATGGAAGTCAAATTTGGCTAAAAACTATTTACACACCAATCATTTATGTAGTAAATGGTAACGTTCACTCCGGAGTCTTGTCAATGTCTCAGTCTAAATTATGTATACAGTTGGTAGGACAGTATTATATCACATTAATGCATAGAAAGCCATAATGTAATGCTTTAAATATTGTAACCAGGACTAATACATGGTTCCATAGTTGGCATGCCAAAATAAAACCATAATTGATGCTGTGGAAAGTTACTCATTACTCTTTGATTCTATTCGGTAAAGTCACATTTCGGTAAAGCCACATTTTCTTAACTATTGGAGTGACTTTACCGAATAGAACCAAAGAGTATGGATCCTTGCAGTCACGAAAGCTTCAAATCTAAAGTTACTCATTGCCAGGTAGGATTCACACATAACCTTCCATTTTTATGGATTCATGGGGACTTTTGGTGTCTAAATGCCACGTAAAACGACAGTAACAAATACACAATGTCCAACTAAAAAAAACGCATCAAAGAGAAGAATCATAGAATGATGTTTGGCATTCCGACATCCATTCATAACGGTACTCCTGCGCTAATCACACGAAGTACAACCCACAACTAGGAAATGCGACTTCCAAGAATACCTTACAACTTAGATACCATAGTCCAGACTCGGCTTCAAGGCACAGTTATTTTGTGACATAGACCTAGCTTGGGTATATTTTTTATTGTTAGAAAAGTTAGAATGAATTAGTTTATACAGTGCAATCAAGTGGAAGAGGTATATTGAAATAATAGGAAATATTTTGAGAAATAGTGAAGGTAACAATAAAACATGCACATTACTATTATAGCATTTCGTGTATGCTCATATGCAAAAATTATATTGCTCAGGTTCGAAAGTGTTTTATGCTAATAGTGACAAGCACACTGAGTACAAATATGCAGCTTAAGTAAATGCTTCTAAATATAGATATATTGCACAAGTGGTATTTCTGTTCATTTAGGCTCACATGGGATATTTTTTTGTGTGTTATATACAACCCTCCGCATGATTTCCTTATTTGAGCATCTCAGATAACTTATACAATCAAATTGCAGTCTATTTAATACGCCGACTTTTTTTGTTTAGGTTCTGATTTACACGTGCAATTTTTGACTTCTGAGAACTTGTTGGGTATTTACAGGGAGCGGGGCATCGTCTCCAGATAAAAGTTGTCTGGAATCTGGCATGGGGACTCATGCCAGCGGTCCCATCAGCCCCAGGTCATCTCCAGGACATGCCGTTCACGGTAAGAGGGCTGAGTAATGGTGGTGGCCAGTGTACTTACTACTCTTGGAATGATTACTGAATGCATTATGAGAATATTCCAACATTCCTTACTTTATGATCATGATCAAAGATTTTTGGTTGATCATGTTGCCTATTTTATGTCACACTGTTATGCAAAGTATTTTCCAAAATACTCAGAGTATCCTAGAAAAAAAAAAACATTTTCCCATTCTGGTGCTACTTTCCTTTGCTGTTCCAAGGCAATGTGAACATTTTATATTCCTGTGTCAGTGAATACTAATTCCATAAGATAATCTCTGACTTCAGACCAAGAGGCGGTACTGAAGTTACCAGTCACCGAGGTATAATAGTTGAATCGACCATGACAAGGCATTGGATTGTTTGCCTTAAGAATAGGCTTCTTAATCTTCACTCGGTGAGTTTTTTCGAGACTTAATGATACAATAAATATTGCTATCATAATGAATATGTTTCTGAAAAACATAAAATACATACAATTTTCCTGATTGTTAATATAAGCACAATATAAATAAGCAGACAATGTCTCCTGCCTTCCACATAAATGTAACATTATTTTTTACAAAGCTTGGAGTGTATAATTTCATCAGTATTGTTTCAATACAAGCAAACTGGACCAGTTTTGGCATTGTATCATCAGCAAAAACTAGCCCAGAGTTGCTTGTATTGAAATAATGCTGATAAAATTAAGCACTCCCAGAAGGCCCTGCGGCTGATGGGATGTGTAAAAATACTTGATACTTTACATGGAGGGATAGATATATATGGGAGACGTATTGTCTGCTTATTTATTTTGTTATTAATGTAAACACTGTAATTTTCACATTGTTGTTTTTTTCACGTGTACTGGAAAATCCTCATCAAAATAATATCTACAATTACTGCGTAATAATTATTACCCAAATTGTAATGTGTTAAGACAATACCCCGAGGTGTGTGGTTGCTATGTTGCTATGTATGATATAACAAAAACATGTTCCCCATGCCCTTTTGTGGTTTGGAGATGTCGTGTATAACATGTATTCTACATTTGAGTGTATATGTCCCAGCAGCAGGGTGATTTGTGGGCAGATATAATCTTATAGTGATGGGCCAGTAGGCATACAGCCATCATGATTCAGGATGCAATTGGAGAAGATGACTTGGTCACTAATTTTGGCGACACCATCAACTTTCAGAGGCTTGCAAAAAGTTGCTTAGACGTGTAGGTTATATTTAAAGGTTCTCTGTATGCTAACATGTCAAATATATTTAAGTGATTTCGATATACAGAACATATCCTAAGAGCATTTTATATAATTTAAAACGCATTCATGTTCTCATAAGCAATTTAGAGAATTCGAATATTCTAAAATAAAAAATTCTGCCAGGAATGGTATAATGTTGGTGCTTTTTAGCTATACAGTACATTTAACACATGTCGTTATGTGGGTGTTATGTTAAGGGAATACATTTAAAGCAGCTTACCATAGTAGTTTTTAGGCATAATGTTGTTTTCTTTAGCCTTCTCGTCCACTTTAAGATGCATTCCCGCATGCCGTTTCCACTTTCCCTGCAGCTCAAACTCGCTCATCTTTTTGCTGGCACTGCTGTTTTTTTTAACTCCAGATGGTTGGTTGTACTATTTTTGCCCATTCATCATTTACTGCGACATGGAATAAATATCAATGTTAAATAATAGTATCGATAACTATTAGTAACATAACCAATGCAGTTTCTGATATGTGTTCTTTTGTAATGATACAAAGTTAGAAAAGAGAAATAAAATTTAGATCAACTTTATAATTATTTTAAGAATATTTTAAAACTTTCCTTTGTAACCTGTCAACAAAGGCATAATTAGGTCCTATGTTGTGCTTAGCTGTTGTGTAGAAAATGAGACGGTTGTCTACGGAAACGGGTAAACATTTTAAAGAAGTCTCCATAAAATGTATTTTCACAAGGTTTGTAGTAGAAGGGCAAGTATACATTTACAAATGGATTTTTTGTCTAAATGTGAAGATATAATGTTCTGTTTGAACCATTCTATTGCTAAAAATGTCATCAGCTCCTATTTTGTTTAGAAAAAAATATATTTTAAAGGTCCATAAAAGGGCCAATTCGGTGTGTGTTTCCTTTTGGTGAAATTTCTCTTCACTAGGGCTGTGCAGTTTGAGTACAATCATTTTGATGCACTGCATTTATCTCAAGGCCCTAGCAAACACTAAAATATTGCTGTGAGTTCACATTTCATCCTGTAGTTATTGTTAGTGGCCATAACATTTTCAGTGAAATGGTCCAGTTCTAAATAAATAAAAGGCCAAAAGTTTAGGACACAAGCATATATTTCACTCTTAACCTGCCCTTAATTGTCATGTGAAGCATGATCATGGACATAAGGCACTGGTGGTGTTTCTGTGATACTGCAGTATTTTGTGGTTTTTGCTTGCACAGGTACTGAGATATAGCACTTATCCAATGGTATTGTATTTTGTAAACAGGATCAACTTTAGTTTCTATAAAACATGAGTAATAATTGTATAGTGAACCCTCAAGGTGCTGCACTTGTGTATATTGAACATAGCATTTCTCAAAGAGGATACTATTATTTTGAAAAAAGTCCGTTTGTCTAGCCAAGCAAGTGTACCTTTTTAAAAAAAAATAGGCATTGCTATCATCCTTGTCCAGGAAGCTCGGTGAAAACAGAAGTTATCAGCAGTGGTGGGGAAGAAGAGGAGGAAGAAGAATTGGAGGGTGTGCACGCGCAGGATGAACTGACCAATGGGATGGAGGATGCGGGCTGCCATGAGGATGGAAAGCCAGATGGCTACGGGTCCATGTTGGGCTGTGGCACAGTAGATGAAGGCAGCGAGGAGAGAGGGCACTTTGGGTCACCAGGGGAAACGAGACGATTTTCAAGTGGCAATGGCAGCAGCAAGCTGGCATGCGATGTGTGCGGCATGGTGTGCATTGGCCCCAATGTTCTTATGGTGCACAAGCGCAGCCACACTGGTGAGAATGGCTAAATATGAATGTTACACGACTTAATCATAAGCAACTAACAACTTTTGTGTTGACTGTATGTATAGTACAATTTTTCAAAATAGAGCAATGGAAAATGTAGCTTTCATGAAAATGTTATCATTGTTTGTATTCATACAAAAAACATGAACATGCATAACCCTTTTGTAAGCCATTGCTGGACGAGCGGCCTCCCCATGCCATGCAGATCATATTTGAACGTATTGGCGGTATATCAGTGCGCAGTATGAAAAAAAAAATCGCTATGATTATTTATTTTCCCGCGATTCGCAACCCCGGTCAGAAAATCTTGCGGGGTGCGTCAAAATCAGTTGTCGTAATGTCAAAGCAGTCGAAGACAAATGTTATGAGCAGCTGAACATGAAGCTTCACAGTCTGTTGGCACATAGCACCCAGCCTGATGACGATTGTCTCCGTGTTCAAAAGGCATATTTGACTCGTGCTCGAGGCTTGGTCGGACGGTTCCTGGATTCATTTCTGGAATAATTTCTTGGCTTACAGTGGTATCTAAAGATTGACTCATGTCACACGTTTTAATGGGAAAACCGCTTCTGAATTGAAGGCAACTTCTGATGCAGTCAGCAACTCACTAAAGGGCAGCAGTGGCATTGTCAGACTATTTTATGAGGACCGGTGTGTCACGCTGCACTGGTGTACCGCCAATACGTCCATTTGACAATACTTTACTACTATAGTACTGGTTGGTGAAAGCAGGGAACATAAATATTGGATTATGGTACAAGACAACAATGAATTTAGCTGCTCTGCCTGCAGCTGACAACATGGCCTCGAATGGTGGTCACTCAGTCAAGCACTACCCAGGCTCGACCCTACTTAGCTCCCTAGATCTGAAAGGAATTAAAACATTGAAGCAAATATTTAATGTTCGTAGTGACAATGTTAACTCTTCATAACCCACAACATGTTTCATAAGTTCAATAGATGTAAAGTTTGCTCTGATTGGGAAAAAAAAATCTTGATTTATAATGTGGGGATGAATCGTGATCTTCATGCAGGTGAGCGTCCTTTCCAGTGCAGCCAATGTGGTGCCTCATTTACACAAAAAGGGAACCTGCTGCGCCACATCAAGCTTCATACTGACGAGAAGCCGTTCAAGTGCCACTTGTGTAGCTATGCCTGCCGTCGAAGAGATGCTCTGATGGGCCACCTTCGTACGCACTCAGGTATGGCAACATATCCTTTCTTTAAGTATATATTCGCATGTACTTTTCAGGCATTTCCCATCCGTTGAAGCTAATAAAGTGATCTGAAATTCGTTTGGAAACTATTTAACCATGTAATGAAAAAGGATTTGTTGAGAATTTGGTTTCAGTGAGTCTTTATCCACCCGTCATTTTAAACCTTTTTTTCATAGTAATTTATTTCTTATTTTTAGACATATAGTTCACGATAAAAAGCCATCATCTTCATGTATGTATATTTAACTTTCTCACCGTCCATAGCTAACCGTGCTAATCGGAAATTCGGGAAAACATTTCTGTAGTGCAGTTTTATACGTTATGGTAATTTCACGTTTACACTTTAACTAGCTTTATTACCCGGCTTCGCCCGAGACTTGGATTTTTGTCTTGGATTAATACACGGCCTTCGGAGGGTGGGGGGGGGGGTGCGTGACGTCAGCAGGCACACTGCGTGACGCTGCCGCATGCTGGTGACATAGATGTGACGTCACCGCTCACTTGCCGTGCAAAATGTATCCATTAATGCGCACCCCCCCCCCCCGCATTGTGTTCAGTCTGGAAGCTACCCACATGCCAAATTTCAAGTTTGTTGCATGTTGGGAAGTATGCTAAACATTTCGAACAGAGACATTCACAAATGTCCCTTTTATATATAGATGATACCTCAAGGTTATTTGTAATGAAACGATACTATGGATTTTACAGGGACATTAAAAGAGGGTTGGATGTGTTTTCTCCAAAAATATCAACAAAGTAACAAATTATAAAGCTTTAAATCGAAAATTATATATTACTACTAGTTTTCATAGACTCTTGACACCTATATTCGTTCCTACGTAAAGTGACTGGAAGTACTAGAAGACACCATACTGCCCCTTTTTCTCTCTACAGTTGGAAAGCCATACAAGTGCAGCCACTGTTCACGCTGCTATAAGCAGCGCAGCTCACTAGAAGAACACCTGGAGCGTTGCCCTGCATACCAGCAGCAGCTTTCTACCAGAAATCAAGAAGGTACACGATCTGCATAATTTTACTTGGATTTGTAAATGTTTAATATTAAAGCGACAATAATTGCACAATGCCTATGCCATTTGAGTTGTATAAAGTCATTGTTAGTGACGAAATGATTTTACAAAACTGACCTATGACACTTTTGTTAACGGTCAGTTTTGTGATCTGGTTCAGCAGACGCAGACATTAGGGTCCATATGGATCAGCCGGTTGCTGACGGGTTACTGGAGGCTGGTTCAGACAGAATACCCCTACCGAACCAGCTGCCAGGCAGCTTCTTGGCAAAACGCAAAAGCTCCACCCCACAGAAGCTCTTTAGTAAGCATGATTTTGTTTTTATTTAAATAACATGCAATACTTTAAGTTCATATTATACATAGTGATTGTTTTACTTATGTAGTAATAATTTGAGTTAAAAGCATATTCCTATTTAAAGATTTTTCTTGATGTTTATTTGCAGACCAGAAACGTCTGAATATGGATTTATCTGATATTCGCTGTGAGCAAATGGTAAGCTCAGATCAAAATGAAGCACCTCATTTTGTGGAACAGGCAATGTCTACATATCTCGGAGTCAGGCCACTGTTGTCGCAGTCACCTTCACTGCAGCCTTTGGTCTTACACAGCAGTGAAAGCAATCGCATTCAGCCTCCATCTCCAAGCCTCGCCATCCCAAACCCTCCCAACTCAATAGAAGACTATGCACCAGTAATTGGTGCGGTCTATTCTCATACAGTGGGTCAGCCAAGCCCTAGGAGCCAAGGATCACCCCTCCCAGGGCATGGGTTCCAGTCGTCCGGCAGACAGAAGGGCACATCGGAGCAACGATTGCCAAGGGACAGAGCATCTCTGGGGTTTCACGGTAGAGCAGCAGCAGCAGTGGCGTCTTCGCCCAGCAATAGTTGCCCCGATTCCACAGACACTGAGAGCAGCCACGAGGAGAGAGGCCGACGTCTGTTCCACGGCCGAGCTAATTGCAGCGCAGGTCAGCCAAGAACCGGAAACTCCAGTGCCACGCAAGATGCAGCAAGTACACCAGCGAGGGAAGATGTGCCCCAGCTACAAGAAGGGGGAGGACAGCCAAGGCCACCTGCCTCGGAAGGCGGGTTGGCCTATCGAGTAATGGGGCCCGATGGGGAATACATGAGGGCATACAATTGTGTGCACTGTCAGGTGATTTTTCTTGACCACGTGATGTACACTCTACACATGGGCTGCCATGGCTTCCGCGACCCTTTCGAGTGTAACGTGTGCGGCCACCGCAGTCGAGATCGATACGAGTTTTCTTCACACATTATCCGTGGAGAACATATTCGTACGATTGAGTAAGCAAGAATGGGAAATTGCACTAATATGACAAAGTGTGCACCAAGGAAAGGGTCTTGGGATTGCTCAAAGAGCATGGTGAACCTGTTTACGCAGGGAATGAAGAAGTTATTGCTTTCACCCTCATGACATTTATTAAAATGCAAATTTTGGATAGCTGCTTTGTTTGGAAAGACATCTTAAGCACTTTGAAGCAGTTTCTAATGGATTGGAACTGAGTTAATGTTTTTGTAAGACTGAACTGATTTATGTGAACGTATATGGATTGTATTGAAAACAATGGTTTAGTTGATATAATGATCAAGTTTAAGAGTTTCATGAAGCTTCTATAGAAGATGTACTTTTATGTTGCAAATATAGCCTAGTTTTTTAAGTGGTTATTAAGTAAAAGAAAAAAATACCACAGTAAAATCTAAATATCCCATTGTATTTGTTACCATTTTAATAATGAAACATAGTAAACTATGTAGCTTAAAATGAGCCAAATTATGTGTTGTATACAAAAATACTTTTAAATCCGAAGAATGAAGTGTTTATTGTTATGCACATCTTTGTGCACAAACCTTGGGAGCACATTTTAAAAACTTTCATCGAAATTGTATTCCTTGATATACTGAGGGCAAAATGTACTTCTACTAAACATTTCGCCACTGTTTGGTTTCTAAATATTTCAGCAATGACGTGGGGCTCCATTTCTGCTTGTAATCATGTGCACATTTTGTATTCAAATACTGTACTTTGAACCATTATTTTTCTGGTTGCTCTGACAATGCTAAACTGTTACGTTTAGCCACTGCATAAATGGTTTTGGTTTGCCACTAAAATATAATACAGTACATCCTGCTAAGAGTGATCTAAAGCATGGTGACTGTAAAAAAAAAATCTTTATTTTGATTGTGAAAATGGGGATCAAACATGCCAGTCATAAACTACCAAAATATTGTGATTGGAACTGTTGTAGTTGCTGACTGGCAACAGTTGGTGCTATGACATGAATTATTGACATTTCTATAATGCCTTTGCTAACCTCTGCTGGCCTTTAAATATTGAGTAGTACCTTTCAGTGAAATGGCTGCTTAGTAATATCGCTAGCTTGCATTTTTACTTGCATGTCAACTATTTCTGGGCTGTAAGACAGTGCTATTGAAAATTAATGGTAATAAAACTACAAAAATGCACTTTTTAGGTTCAGTAACTAAGTGTTTATGTTTATTAGTTGGCTAGTGATAGCTGGCGCTTTGAATGTTAAATAGTTATTTTTTCAGTTATGTAACAAAAAATGGATGTATCTACACACCTATTTGGGAGTTATATTCTGGCATAACATTTGCAGCAATTATGGTGGGGGGTACTTTAGACTCGTTTTGTTGACCAAAAGTACTGTGTGATTTAAAGGCACTTTATGATGTTTTGAACGTTTGATGCATTCTTATGGAACATTTCCCCCTTTAAAATATTGAAATCAATACCGAATGAAGGCTATATATGTATGTTGTATACTGTATTTCAAACTATATTGTGCTGAGATTTTTGACTGTGGGCCTGAACGTTTTTACAGTTGTATTTTAAGTGATGTATTTAGTGAAGCTGAACGAATGATGGGTTGTATACGATTGATTTCTACAATTCAAAGAGGCTGTGTAGCTTTAGACGCGTTGACTTAAGGCGTTTTGACGGTCTTTGCTCTCCCGCCAAACATCCTACTCCAGTTCTTGCTGCTGTCGCTTGTTTTTATTATTGCAGATTTTGGTTATTTATAGGAAACATATTTTTTCAAAAAAGGCTGAAAGTGTGGTCGACTAATTACGCTAATAAATCGTTGAAAAACATGTGAAAATGCCCGAAATAAAAACGTTTATTGGCAATGCCGGTTTGTGCGCAATAGGCGGCGCTGTTTAGTTTTGTAAGCGCTCGATTCGGTTGCCATTTGTGCAGACCTATCGTGGTTTAACCGATTATTTCAACGCAATCTTACATCATAAAAACACAACTAGCTAGCAGTGGATACCTATACTTGTATAAATGTCTTTCAGAGTGCAAAATGTAAGAATTTGGAGACCTCTCAAAACCTCCATGAGTGCTGCTTTGTACCGCCCCCCCCCTACTAAAGCGGTGCTTTTGGCACAAACAGTAATAACACTGTAACACCATTTTTGTTCCTGGGTAGTAAGTGTAATTTCGTAATTGCTTATGCCAAAAAAGTATAGAAAATGGCTATTATTCCCCACAAACTTTGCTTTTGTGACCAGGACAGTGATATTTTGAAATGTACCTATTTTCAATGAGAAAATGGGCAAATTTGTGTATTTTCGTTCACATAGTCAGAAAAAGACATGAACCAAAATTAACATTTATACTAAAGTAATGCAAAAATGTATACAAAAGATTTAGAAGTGAGTAGTTTTTCGAGATTTACGATGACACTAAATCACTTTCACGAATCAGCCCCCAAATGTAGTCTCCCATCATGTTCTCGTTATACTGTCCTTGGTAGCGACGTTCAAAGTCTAGTATATCCTGGTGGAAACTCGCCTTGCTCCTCCGAGTACGTTCCCATGTTCTCTTTGAATTTATCAAGATGAGCATCAAGGATTTGGATTTTGAGGGACATCCTACAGCTCATTGTGCCGTAGTTCTTCACCAGTCTCAACCAGCTCCACAGTTTTCGACCTCGTGATTGCCCAGGGAGCCACGAACCACTGCGACAAAGCTGTTCCAAGCCGCTTTCTCCTTACTAGTGAGCTTCTTGGGGAATTCATTGCACTCCAGGATCTTCTTTATCTGTGGTCCGACGAAGACACCGGCTTTGACCTTTGCCTCAGACAGCTTGGGGAAGAAGTCTTGAAGGTACTTGAAGGTTGCCGACTGACAAATTGTTTCATAAGACCCAATTTGATGTGCCGTGGTGGCATCAGCACCTTCTGGGGGTCCACCAGTGGCTCCCACTTGACGTTCCTCCCCACAGAGAACTCGGTCCGTTGTGGCCAGCCCCGCCTGTGGTAGTGCGCCTTGGTGCCCCTGCTGTCCCAAAGGCAAAGATAGCAAGGAAACTTGGTAACACTGCCTTGGAGACCCATCAGGAATGCCACCATTTTTGAAGTCTCCGATGACCTCCCAGCCATACTAATACTTCAAGGCGTCCAGCAAGGTCTTGATGCTGTTGTAATCCTCTCTGAGGTGCACCGAGTGAGCCAGGGGAAGAGATGGGTACTTAGCATTATGAAGCAGCGCAGCTTCGAGGCTCCTGGATGAGCTGTCAATGAAGAGGCGCCACTCATTCTGGTTACAGGCGATTCCGATTCCCTCGAACAGTGGTCACTTTGTGGCAGAAGCAGAACAAGCTGCAAAAAGGTTGGTGGTGATGCTTACTCTGATCTGCGACTTTCACACTTTTTTTCCAATAAGTTCCACCGTTTGAGCCTAGATGTCAAAAACTCGGCATTGGGCTTGGTGAGACCAAGATCTCTGATCAAGTCATTGAGGTCTTTTTGGTTGGGGTAGTATGGGTTTCTCTCCTCAGCTCCACCTCTGAAATTGTCATCTGGATCTATAACGTCTTACTCGCTCTCTGACTTGCTGCGCTCTTCTAAAGACGGCTGCTCTCTCCCCGGAGGAGTGGGTACAGGGAGCTTATGGCAGTGTGGCACTAGGGCGATGGATAAAGGAAGTTCCGGATACGTGATAGCAGTTGCATTCTTGCAGTCTGACATTTGCAAGTGCCACCATGCAGAAGTAGTTGCTTGAGTGGTCAGTGGGTTACTGCAAAATTATTGGGATAGTGAACTTAATGGCTCTCTTTTCTCCTGTACCATCCTACAAAAATACATTTATTTCACCCATGACTAATGTGTAAGAGATTCTCGCAACATTTTTCATATACAGTGAGGGAAAAAAGTATTTGATCCCCTGCTGATTTTGTACGTTTGCCCACTGACAAAGAAATGGTCAGTATATAATTTTAATGGTAGGTTTATTTGAACAGTGAGAGACAGAATAACCAAAAAAATTCAGAAAAACGCATGTCAAAAATGTTATAAATTGATTTGCATTTTAATGAGGGAAATAAGTATTTGATCCCTCTGCAAAACATGACTTAGTACATGGTGGCAAAACTCTTGTTGGCAATCACAGAGGTCAGACGTTTCTTGTAGTTGGCCACCAGGTTTGCACACGTCTCAGGAGGGATTTTGTCCCACTCCTCTTTGCAGATCTTCTCCAAGTCATTAAGGTTTCGAGGCTGATGTTTGGCAACTCGAACCTTCAGCTCCCTCCACAGATTATATGGGATTAAGGTCTGGAGACTGGCTAGGCCACTCCAGAACCTTAATGTGCTTCTTCTTGAGGCACTCCTTTGCTGCCTTGGCCGTGTGTTTTGGGTCAATGTCATGCTGGAATACCCATCCACGACCCATTTTCAATGCCCTGGCTGAGGGAAGGAGGTTCTCACCCAAGATTTGACGGTACATGGCCCCGTCCATCGTCCCTTTGATGCGGTGAAGTTGTCCTATCCCCTTAGCAGAAAAACACCCCAAAAGCATAATGTTTCCACCTCCATGTTTGACGGTGGGGATGGTGTTCTTGGGGTCATAGGCAGCATTCCTCCTCCAAACACGGCGAGTTGATTTGATGCCAAAGAGCTCCATTTTGGTCTCATCTGACCACAACACTTTCACCCAGTTGTCCTCTGAATCATTCAGATGTTCATTGGCAAACTTCAGACGGGCATGTATATGTGTTTTCTTGAGCAGGGGGACCTTGCGGGTGCTGCACGATTTCAAGCCTTCACGGCGTAGTGTGTTACCAATTGTTTTCTTGGTGACTATGGTCCCAGCTGCCTTGAGATCATTGACAAGATCCTCCCGTGTAGTTCTGGGCTGATTCCTCACCGTTCTCATGATCATTGCAACTCCACGAGGTGAGATCTTGCATGGAGCCCCAGGCCGAGGGATATTGACAGTTATTTTGAGTTTCTTCCATTTGCGAATAATCGCACCAACTATTGTCACCTTCTCACCAAGCTGCTTGGCAATGGTCTTGTAGCCCATTCCAGCCTTGTGTAGGTCTACAATCTTGTCCCTGACATCCTTGGAGAGCTCTTTGGTCTTGGCCATGGTGGAGAGTTTGGAATCTGATTGATTGCTTCTGTGGACAGGTGTCTTTTATACAGGTAACAAGCTGAGATTAGGAGCACTCCCTTTAAGAGTGTGCTCCTAATCTCAGCTCGTTACCTGTATAAAAGACACCTGGGAGACAGAAATCTTTCTGATTGAGAGGGGGGCAAATACTTATTTCCCTCATTAAAATGCAAATCAATTTATAATATTTTTGACATGCGTTTTTCTGATTTTTTTGTTATTCTGTCTCTCACTGTTCAAATAAACCTACCATTAAAATTATAGACTGATCATTTCTTTGTCAGTGAGCAAACGTACAAAATCAGCAGGGGATCAAATACTTTTTTCCCTCACTGTATGATATATTTTTTCAATTACATTTAAAATTGTAAACATTTTAATATTAAAAGCTTTTACAATTTAAAAATTTTAAACAAATTTTATGACTTAAATTCCGAGCACCAATTGTCCATCTTATCTTCCAGAGTTTTTTTGCATTTCTCGCAGGTGAAATGGGGTGCCCAGGGTTTGTCTTGATCCCCAACACGCATGCCGAAATATGCCTTGTCGGCCTCACACATCTTAGCAGATACTTCCACAGAGTACTTTTTTGCTCTTGTCTTGATAAATTGGCCGCAGACATAGCAAAATGTGTTTTCCGGATGCTTGCAGCCTCTTGATGCCATCTCAGAAAAATTCAGATATGTATCCACTTAGTCAGCTGGAACTAAACTGAACTGGTGGGCTGAAGGCCCCTGTATTTATACTACTATTTATATTACTGGAAAGTTCTAGAATGTTCTAGAAGCTACTCCAAGTTTAATCAGCACGGAATCTATCTGGAATGTTCTGGAAAATAGATACATTTCTAAATATAACTGTCCTGGTCACAAAAGGAAAGTTTGTGGGGAATAATAGCCATTTGTGTACTTTTGAGACGTAAGCAATTAGGAAATAACACTTACTACCCAGGAACAAAAAAAATGTTACACAGTGTAATTTATTTCTGCAAATCGTGAATGTAAATCAATGTGACTAGCTTAAGTCGGCTTGGACAAAGAACGTCCAACACTCGTGACTTGTTGAGTAGCCAGAGATTAATTTCTGACTCGACGTTTTTCAGAACGCTGCATTACCTGCTTGGTGTAGGGTGGAGGGCATTACGACTTCGATACAAGCCTCCAAGGTGCGCGTATCCACAACCATCTTAAATTATGTGAACCCTATATTCGTACAATCCTATGCACAGGTTCATGTTTAACATGTAACTAGCACTGCCCTTGGTATATGCACACTGTGACGTCATCGCGCTCAGGTGTGCGCGATGACGTACCCACCGTGCACTTGTGCACCAGCCAGCCATCCAGCCAGCAAAACTAAAAATGTTTTCATAGTAGGAAAGAATAAAATAAAGCGAGATGGATGTGGCGTGCCATATTCCCATGACAGCGTTCCAGACTTTACCGGCTGAAATTAGGCAAAGTCGGTAACAATCGCCGAATCACGACACGGTACAGTTTAGCGGGCTGCGTTTTGCAAGTCCTATCTGATTTCATGCTCGGCTCAACGCGTGCACCATAGCGGGGCAATGGAAAGAATGCAGCCACTAATCGCCACTATCGTTCACAAATATGCGAGGTCTCCCGTGAAATGCGCGTCGCACTTTATCGACACAAACGGCTCCTCGTGCAGTCAGACCCCCCCCCCCCCCCGACTGGACGTCTGCGAAAAAGGAGCTTTATAGCTCATCGGATTCCTCCATCATAAATATTGCACACCTGAGCACGTGCGCCGTAAAGGGATCGCCTTCCCATTGGCTGCATTACGCTCATGCATGAATAATCCGTCAATATTTCACGAAGTCTCGCGCTACAGCGCCAAGTTGAGAACAATAACTTTACCATGGACAATATATAATTGAGGTCTTAGCCTATAGATTCCCCCCCCCCCCCCCCCCCCACGGATTAAAATCTCACTAATGCTTTTTTTCTGGATTGCTAGTAGACAAGTAAGCAGTAGCCACAGCCTTCGCTGCATGTATACCAGGTCTGGAAATGGGAAGAAATTCAAGAGTATTAATCAAAATAAGAATATTTATTGTTGAGGAATCCGATGAGCTGTGAAGCTCTTTTTTTCCGCAGAACTCGTAGATGATTCCCCCCACCACCACTAGATCTGAGGAAGAGGACGTCTGTGCGTGTCTGTGGGTCTATATAAAGCTGCTGCAAGAGGGTATTTCGCCTACTCTTCCACGTTGGCCAGACATTTTGGAAGAGGTGGGTATTCTCGTACCCAAACTTTACCCCACTCCACGGGACCTGCCGAGTGCCGGATCGACTGTGGCGCATAAATGTTGTTAATGATGGGTGGACAGAGGCGAGATTGGACGTCATAAATGTGTCAAGTGTTTCGGTTGCCGCGCCGGAGGATCGAAACGGCGAATGTCTGGATTGCAAGATGAGTGTTCCTTCCCATCACGCCACGGGAAGTCGTCGATTTAAATCGCGCACACGCGCACACGTGCATATGCAGTACACATATCCAGCGCGGTTTAAATGTTGCAATTAACTTTGAGGCCACTGCTTTGGGGAGGGAGAGCGAAGCTCCCAAGAGGGGGGGCAACCCAGCACGTGGGCGTTCCTCTCCTCCTCCTCCTCCGCTCGCTCTCTCTGGCGTTGGTGTTTGCCAAAGAGCGCCTTCACCACAGTTTTAACACTGACGTGCCGAGCTGGTGGTGGTGGGGGGGGGTTGTTACGAACTTCGCAGCCTATTGGCCACGGCGCCTGGGAGCGTCCGAACGTAGCTTTTCTCCACGCTACGCTACAGCCTCCGAAACACAACGCCTCTCCCCCTCTGCGTGTCTCGGCGGGGACCCTCTCTAACTTTCCTTTTACGCCCCCTTCATTTCGGAGTTGCTGTTGCTCGTGTTGCCATCCGGTGGTTTTGTTGCTTAACCTCAACCCCTGCGTTAACCCGTCGGATAAGTTTAAACCCATCTTAAACTGGTGTGGGGTTGGCGATTTATGCTGGTGTGCAACCATCGACGAAATGCAGCCGATCCTCTGGAGAATGGGACTGCTGCACCTGGTGTGTGCATTGGCGTCTGTCGGAAAGGTGCACTCGCAGATAGGTGAGTGAGCGCGAGTCGACTTTTAATTTCCCACCTTTTAAAACTTCTGCTCGGTGTGAGACTCCGCGGAAGGAAGAGCTGAGTCGGCTCTCCGCGTGCGTGTGCGCGTCCCTCTACCCCCACCGCGCACACGGTGTCGTGTGAAGGAGCCGAGTTGGAAGTCCGCGCAACATTCACGTATGCTGGCAATAAGCATAGACCGCACGGGGAGGGCTTCGCAGAGCGCTTGCGTAAATTCCACTGCGTAGGTTTGTGCCCAGAAGCACGTCAAATTGGATGGCTCGCGTCAATGATTCGCGCAAGAAAATCGTTCCGAACAGCGGGGTCTTATTTCTGTAAAATGTCAGGCCAGAAGGAGCCTCCTGTGTGTGATAGGTAATTGACTATTAAACCCATAAGACGGGTACTTGCTTCGTACACCTTTGGCGTGATATTAAGAAGGATCATCGCCCGAAACGTCGACTGTGTGTGCTACATGTGCTTCCCTTCCAGGCCAGTGTTATCACTACTGTGTGGAGTTTTTTGTTACATGGTGAGATGTTAACTACTTCACCTGGTATACAGGAGGTCATGGGTTCGATTCCGATCCTGACACCTGCATATTTGGAGTTTGCATGTTCTCACCGTTGTTGCGTGAATTTCCTCCCCAAGTCCTGCGGGTTTTCCCTCAACATTTAGAATCAAATGCGTTTAAATGAGTATTTGGCTGCTATACATTTCCAACACGATGAGCCACTTCGTTGAGTTATTATTTGTGATAGGTCGCTTCTTACAAAAACGAATTACATAGCTCAGTGGGCCTTACTTCGTAAAATAAAATACGAAAAAAAAATGTTGTATTTGTTCTGCTGGAGTATCCCCCCCCCCACACACAACGTTATGCATCTTCCTGCGTGTACACCTGTTACGGCTAAGCGTAACGATGGCGTGCACACCTCTTTACCTTGGCCGTGCAAAAGCGTCAAAAAAATAAAACCCCGTCGCGTGCACCTTTTTTTTTGGGACACCGCATTCGCCTCCCCGTTTGTCGTGAGACTAAAGGTGCTTGTTGTCGTGTTGCGAGCGAGCGAACCACGTTGAAGGGAGAGGACGTGTTGTGTGGGTGGCGTTCGTGTCACGCACACGCCTCGCGCAGGTATGGGGGCCCACTCCAGGCAAATTCTGTGCTCCCCCCCCCACAACCCCACCAGTTCTCTCAATTTGCCGGTCACGTCGATTTGCTTTGGTTACCATTATTCCTCAGGATTACTGTAGGACACGCACTCTTTCTCTGGTATAAAACAAACGTGTGTGTGTGAATGTGATCGATTTGTATTGATTTATTGAGACCAGGTACGCGTTTCGGGGCGGGGGGGGGTTTGCGTTTTACTTTCTGGAGCGTCTTATAATTCGGATAATATTGTCAAGCATAAACACAGGTGAATCCTTTCTTCTCACGACTTAGCATGAGTGCACATTCGGTTCCGCAAAACAAAAATAACAGCGGGTGCACTAAGTGCTGCCCGTGCGTGATGCTGGTAAATATTTTTCGGGTGAAATTTTGGAGCTCAAATTCAAAAGTCCGAACAGCTCCAGACACAGTGTCTCTCTCACTACGGCGCCTCCTATTCCTCTCTCGGAGTCTCTCTCTCTTCGCCGCCTCTTCTTCGTCTCTCAGAGTAATCTCGGCTGCCTGACTAAGCGAGTCGGTTCAGTTTTTTTTATGAGGGAACAACTTGTACGAAACCACGCCGTGCCACATTCCTCTGCTGAAACGCGGCCCGCGACGCGACTGCCGGGGCCAGACAAGTTGTCATAACGCTTTGGATGCCTCTGAACCGTGGACATCATTAGCCGTCTTTATTTCGATTGAGTTCCACCTGCAATGAATGGGCGAGGGCGTATGGGGGGAGTGGTGACTGGGAAGGAATCGTCTGTATTCACGTGGACATGTTACAGCTTTTTTTTTGTTGTCAATCCACTATTGGATGAGGGCCGCCCCATGCCGTGCGTTATTTTGACCATTAAATTGCACTTCACCACGTCGTTCAGTGCGGGTTGGTGAAGGTGGGCAGAACTGAGGTGGGAGCATACATGTCGAGTCCAATAAAACCATGGAAATTTGGGCATTGATTTCTGCTGCCCACCACGTACACCCTCCAACCCCCGCAAGCCCCTTGACGACCTGTTTGTACAATTATTAAAAATGTAATCGTATGATGGTCCAAGCATTTTCCAGGCTCAACCTGCTTACCTTCTGAGATCAGACGAGATAGGTCATAGGCCTGCGAAGTGTGTACAGTGCTAGATTTAATCAAAGGCTTTGATGAGTAATTGTACTGCGTTATTACACAACGCGTTGCCTCTTGTGGCGGCCAAAAAGCACGACTATCTTTTGCTGAGGGATGTTCATGATGCAAGACTGCACGCACCTGTCCTTTATGCTATTGATCAGAGCGGATATGGAAAATATAGTGAGGGATATTGTTTACTTTTCTTTTCTGTAACCAAATGGATCATTATCACAGTCTCCGATGTCATCTGCGTTCGTCCAATTTCAGTATATTAACCGAAAAACTGAAAGTGCACAAAGAAGAATGGAGAGATGATTGCCTGGGATCACATTGGGAGATGGGACGTGGATAAGAGCGCCGACACAGGTTAAATACATAATTCAAGCCGTTCAGAAACAGTAAGAGTGCTTGGACATGACACATCACCACTGTAAGCGATTATGGCGGATGGTCAAGAATAATGGTGGATTGGCAGCCAATGAATATGACGAGTCTAAGAGGATGTCTAGTTATGAGATTGAGCCTCCATGGAATTAGCTTGTGTTCAAGTGCTCGGTGGATTATTACATAAGAGGATCATGGTAGATGGTGGAAGCTTGGGAAGGCCATCATCCAGCAGTGGATTGGCCATCGCTGCTGATGATAATAATGACTACAGCTTTGACTATGAACTGCCTGTACATATCTAGGGAGATAAGTAGTGTCTGTATGCGTGCATGAAATTGGTAGTCATGAAGCAGCTGTTCTTATTTAAAGTGATTAAGGAATACAGTACAGCGTCTGTTAATAATGTGCCAAGGAATTGCTGGACACTTTCCACCAATCTAATGAAAAAGAGCAGTTATTTCAGCTACATAAACTGTTAATCTGTGACGTGATACTGTTACACAGGGCAGACAGCACAAACTGAACTCTCACCACAATCCCCACTTTCAGTTACCCTCTGCTCATAGCCACGTAAACATCCCAGTATATCCAAGCTGTCACCTGCCATTTGCCAACCCAGCCAGTCAGAATATTGTTTGTAAAATGTTGACGACACAGGTGCCGATGTATGCCAATGTGAAAACTGCAGTGAGTGGCTAGTTTTTCGTTTTATGTTTAGTTTGTTGCCCTTACCCCTGCACCTCCGATTAGCACGGTTGGCTACGTGCGGTGTGAAAGAGGTTCTACATATTCTTGGTTCTACATACATACAGCAGTGTCTGTTACACTGGACCTGCCGTGAGACTGCTACAAATGGGATGACATCGGAGTGATCAGATCATTCAAACGCAGCAGAACCGCAGGTGTTGCACTGACATTTGTTAGATTGAGCGACGTTACTTTGCATAACTGTCAGAGATGGCGATGGCATGGGTAGGCCTTCATCCAGCGGTGGATTGATCATGGCTGCTTATGATGATGATGATGAAGTTGACATTAGCTGGGCGAATGTCAGGCCTGTGAAAATGCAATTTAAAATCAACACGCTTTTCCAGTACTTTAACAAGAATGTCCGTAGAATGTGAGGTGAGAATGTGACCCTTGTAGGTAATGTTATAGTCATTGTTAACGTGAGCATTGTATGCAAATGGAATGGAATACTGTATTTGGAAATTATTGGACTAAGCTGTTAAATATACTAAATAAATCATGCATATTTATTTAGCTTATTAATTCGAAGAAACAAATAACACTCTTGCTTGGTTAATGGTTGCACGTGAAACGCTTTTTAATATATATAATACTTAAACGGTTTGGCTTAGGAATTGAACACAATGTAGCAGTATACCATGGAATAATAGCCTGTGATCGCAGTGTACGTGTGGGGAGTTACACAGGTGTCCCTTCCATTCAGCTAAGTGGCACAAGTAAACAACAGCTGACCTGGAAATACCGTAATGTGATTAAACCAATAATGGGTGGTGGCAGGGGTCTGTGTTCCGTTCCTGAGCATCGGGGGTCATTTGTTGCTTTTTTGGGGTCGCACAAACGGGTTTCTGTTTGGCTGTATTTGCCTGTGTTGACCCCAGTTTGACCCCCGGCATGAGATGTAATGTTCCCAGCTGAATAGCCCACAACTGTCGGCGCTGGGGAGCTGAAACGAGCCCTTGGGAGGAGAAGCTTAGTGTGTGTGGGGGGAAAAGGCACTCGTTTTGGCAGTTTAGTTATTCGCGTGGTATTAATGAATACTACTTTTTCAATGATTGATTTGAACGTAACATTTTTGTGGAGCACAAAGGTGTCAGAAGCAGGAGTGAGGAGGCGCAACCAAATTCATGGATAACTAGACGAGAACGATGTTTAATCGGTAATCATCTTGCTGACGCAATTAATTTTACCTTCACTGCATTATCTATATGTGATGTGAATAAGAAATATAGAACTGGTATTCACTTTAGATACTTTCCGACTGCATAATACTGTACATGTTTATCTTTAAACATGCTCCATCTCTATTAAGACAGAAAACGATACAAGTTTGAAGATGCAGAAATGCCCATATATAAACAAAATTATTAATGGCCGTTGTAAAAATATCCCAAAAATAATAAAGTTTAACATTGGGAAGAGGAATCCATGACCTGGTGACTAGTCACACGAAACATAATATCTGGCTTGCAAGCATTATGTAACAATGCATCAATCCATCATGACTGATGTATCTAATTGCGTTTGTATGAATTAATGATTCATAACGTAAGCATATTAAATGTGATTGGTGTCCTTGGGCAGAAGGAGGCG